TCATCTATTCTGTTTTCTATTTCATCTTCAAGAACAGCGCATGTGTCTTCTTTGCATTCTAAGAACTTTTGTTGGACTTCATCTTCCAATCGGCGTCATCTCTGTCAACAAGTCTGTCATTGACAAATTTTAAGACTGCTCTTTGTAATGTTTTATGGTCTTGTCATATTCCCAGAAACAGAACTTTAGAACAAATTCACCTTTCTTGTTTACACTATGTAAGATTTTATGGTCGACAGATGTTTTGTCTGTCAAAAAGTTTGTCTCGAATATAGATATGCGAATCGCTAGACATTTTCTAAAAGATAAAAATTTTACTTTTTCTAAAAATATGTTAGAAAAAAAGTTTGCTGACATTGACAAAAAATTTGAGAATGTTTTAAACAAGAACAAGAGGAAGTTAGAAAATGCTCAGATAAAGCCTATACATGAAAAGTTCTTATTTGCTCAGAATGGTATAACAGGTCTAATTGCACCACCTGGGTCTGGTAAGACTTTCACTTATCTTAAAATGGCTGCACAACAACAAGAACTAGATGAGAAGAAACCCATTCTAGAGTTAGTAGTCATCATTTGTTCGACTTCTGGTCAATTTGACCAACCGCTCAATTGGATATTATAAAGAAGTCTAAGTTAGTATGTATAAAGGATACTGAGTTGTTAGATTGGATAAAGAAGTACCAAAGAAGAGTTTTTTGAAGTATAATGCTATAAATGAGTATATAAATTCGAAGTTTAAAGACCCAAATGAGGAAATGCAGAGAATTAGAGAAGAAACACTTCAGAAACAAACAGAAAGAGATAAATACATTTCGAAGAAATTGCAATCTTACGATTGGAAGACTTACCCTCATAGATGTCTTCTTATCTTAGATGATTTCGCCTCTCATCCTTTGTTAAAGAACAGAGAACAAGATATGTGTCGAATTCTTAAGAAACTTAGGCACTTTAACATTTCAGTCGTAATATGTGTACAGACAGCAAAGAGTTTAAGTAAGGATGTTAAAAGAATACTTACTGACATAATACTTTTCCCCGGATTGTCCGAAGACGATTTCATGGAACTTATGAAAGAGTCCATGGCAGGTAAGTTTGACAGACATGAACTATGGGAGAAGTACAAGTCATACAAGACCCTCATACTTCTTTCAGAATTCATATCTACGCAAACAAAGTTCAAATTGTAAAAAGTCAATAAAAATAAATGGTTCATCTACCCTACTTGTTTGAAGTTGTCAAAATACTCTGTTATTTTTTCTTTCAGTAGCGGTAAGTCTTCTTTGAAGGTAAAAATTGTACAACCTTTCATATCATAGTGTGTTTGAGGTAACGTATCTTGAACTATTTGTTTCACATCTTCATTTGGGGTCATTGAAATCGGTAAGTTTTCGCGATAGAACCAATTTCTGTCAGATTTGTAAATCTTAGCAAGGTCGTAAAAGCTTTTGTTGTTTCTTCTGACTAAATGCAACATAACCATATCTTTATCTTCTTCATTTTCCATCTCTTCAGTATAAATCAATATACTTATAGTTCTTTTCCTTACCTTTTGGTACCGAACGTGGTATTCTTTTCTGAATGCTTTTGTCTTTTGCTTCAATGACTTCATCTTTTGCATGAAGTTTCTTTTCCATCTCTTCACGTTCTGCTTTATATAGTTCATCTAACATCATGAAAATATATACAAGCATAACGAGGTGAAGCCCACATTGCTACAGCATTTACTAAAAGTCTATGAACATAATATCCTTTCAAACCAGGAGCCAAATTCTTGCGATTTTCGTACGGAATCTCTTCTCTCGTTTCCGAGGGAAGCAATCATATGAGGAAATTCTTCTAAAAGTTCTTTTGTCTGTTGGTTTTCAAACCAATGATATGCTTGCTTTGTAGAACGAAGAGCATTCAAAATACTTTGCATTTGGTACATATCGTCTTTGACCGAACGAATGAGACGTAACTGTTTGTTATACTGTATGTACTCGTATTCTCATTTATAGCTTCATGGACTATAACTGTTGTTGTGTTCTCTGTTGTTGACATATCTGTCTTTACATACAAAATAAAAAAAATAAATAAAAATAAAACTAACTTTATTTTTTCTATCTTAAGGAAATTCATGATTTTTGTGCTGAATTCAATAAAAATATATTTTAGGTGAAGAGGTGAGATTTCACCTCTTTTTTCACCTCATTTCTACCCCAGTTATTTTATAAACGTTTCACATGGTAAACGTTATTTTTTAAATTTTGTGAAAACTCAACGGTTTGACACAAGCCATATGCCATTTTACTCAGAATTTTGTTGCTGAATTCAGCAAAAATATATTTTAGGTGAAGAGGTGAGATTTCACCTCTTTTTTCACCTCATTTCTACCCCAGTTATTTTATAAGCGTTTCACATGAATTGTACGATGTATATTTGAAATCCTAAACAGTTTTGTAGATTCTATTTCTTCTTTTAGTACATCGAATGTTTTAACAATGCCGAAAGTTTCTTTATACTTCTTCTTGACGTCAGATAGAAGGAAATCGTCAGCAGTTGGATAGTTTTTGTTCAGAAATTCTAACATGTCCATTTTATTTTCTGCTGGTTTCTCTGCTTCTTTCTTTAAATCTGCATAGTCGTTTCTCATTCTTTCTATCTCTTTGACTGAGTAGTTATATTTTCTTATTGCTGCTTTACATTTAGAACATTGCGGGTTCATTTTTGCGTTATATTCTGAAACCTTACCTGCTAAAACAACCAAGGCGTCAATGGTTTTCTTTAAATCTGAAGCAGTTGGTTTTATCTGTTCATTCCATACCTTACCTCTTCTATCTTTATCTCTTATCTGCCATACACATTTTGCAGCTAATGAAACAAAGTTGTCGTATGTCTTAAACTCCCCAGATTTATATATGTCAGAGATGTTCTTATATAACATGTCGCAATCTTTGTCCATAACTTTATGGTTGCAATGAAAACCAAGGAATTCATAATTTACCTTTCGTATGAACTTCTTTATTTCTACTGAGTCAGTTGCTTTGACTTCAATTTCGTTGAATTCAGGAATAGTGAGCTTTTGTTGTTGGATTTCAGGTAGTTTAGGCAAATGGTCGATGAGGTCCTCCATTTCATAAAGATACTGTTCATTTGTTTCATCCTGTGCGGTACAGTCTAAATTACTTGTTAAAAGTTCCTGCTTTATTCTTTGTATTTCTGTTTCGAAAGTATATGAAGAAGGAATGAAGCTTTTCATTTCTACTAACATAGATGTTGGATTCATGACTAACGAGTTTGGTGCTGTTGTTTGAATTGTTGTTGTGCCGATTGTTGACATTTCTGTTCTTTTATACAAAATAAAAAAATAAATAAAAATAAAAATAACTTTATTTTTTATTTCGGGAAAATTCATGAAAATTCAAGAGGGTGAAAAAAGAGGTGAAATCTCACCTCTTCACCTAAATTATATTTTTGCTGAATTCAGCAACAAAATGAACGAGGTCAGGATGTATGTAAATATCTTTGAATTCATTCATAACACCCTTAGTAAGCTCATAAAATGCTTGTTTTGAGGTCGAGCCACTTTTGGCTCCACCGTATTCTTTCAACCAAAACTCAAGAATTTCCTGCATGAATTTTGTATAAAAAGCAACCGCTGGAATTCAGACTGTTGCTATATTCTTCACAAAATGCCTTATAATACTCTTCCCAGGACTTATTTTCCAACAACTTTCTAAAGTCTTTCCTAAACTGACTGACTGACTGACTGACGGCACAAAGTGGCTTAACGAAAACATTAATATATAAAATTCATGAAAATTCAAGAGGGTGAAAAAACAGGTGAAATCTCACCTCTTCACCTAAATTATATTTTTTGGTCCAGGAACAACTTTCTCTCAATTGGAGCTGTAGCATACTCTTTGTGTAAGCGGTTCAGACCTTCTTCGAAGTCTTGGTCTCTCTTGGACTGAGATTGGAATTGGAATTGTTGGGGTGGAGCTTGCTGGAACATCCAAGGGTTGGGGAAGTAAGGCATAGGCTGAGGAGGGTAGTTCGGGAAGCCTTGTGGTGGGTAGTAACCTTGAGGTGGAAATTGGTAGTAATTCGGAGGTACTTGCTGGAACTGAGGTTGCTGAGGAGACTGTTGTGGTTCTTTAGGTTCCTCTGGTTTGGGAATGGACTCGGTTGGTGGGACGTCGGACATTCGTTTGTGGCTTAACCGTCGGACCACAACGATAAAAATCTCTGCTACTAGCAGTACTTTTACTGACAGTAGCAGTACTTTTTCTGACAGTAGCAGTACTTTTTCTGACAGTAGCAGTACTTTTTCTGACAGTAGCAGTACTTTATCGTCGAAAACCCTCTCAAATTTTCCTTTTTACTGACAGTAGCAGTTGTTTTACTGCTACTAGCAGTACTTTTACTGACAGTAGCAGTACTTTTACTGACAGTAGCAGTACTTTTACTGACAGTAGCAGTACTTTTTCTGACAGTACCAGTACTTTTTCTGACAGTAGCAATGGTCGAGGTCGAACCTACCGACGAGGCAATTTACCTAATTGAACTTAACGAGCTTGTTAAAGACTTCCTCAGGCAGAATGTAAAAGGCAAGCTTGTTAACGGTTGGATAACGGGAAGGTCTACACTTCAGCTCGAGACTTCGACTGGAATTCCAATTCAAATACCAGACGGGACAGCCTACGATGGCATAAAGGACGCCAAAAGAGAAGCTCTTGTTAAGTTCTTTGCCAAGCGTCCTTGGATACTACTTCCAAACAGAGAGAACCCTTTCCCAAGAATGAACCAAATTCTCAAGGGTCTCCTTCACTTCTCTGGTCAACCATTCTACATAACCTGTGAAGGCGACATTCAGCCAGTTCAGTAAACATCTCATTTTAACTCACTTTTTTTATGTTTTTTGTGAAAGTGTCAAAAATAAATTGTTTTCATGAGTTTTCTACGATGTTAGAAAAAATGTTATTTTCTAATATCTTCACATTCAATACTTTTTCAGCACTTTTCCGTAGTTATATATGAAAGACAATTCGAGATAAAAGTCATAGTACAATGGAATAATATGTTGCACACCATTTGTTGTGAACCAAACTTGAAAGTCAGAGAAACTGTTACTAGATGGTTCGTAGAATTTAGAAGCAAAGTCATAAAGTCCTTACCAATACATAGAAAACTATTGTTGCTTGAACTGAAACTTGCATGACACATAACATTTTGAGGGTCAAACACGTTTCTATAAACCATCAAATCTGCTGGTGGAAGTATAAATTTAAATGGACCATCTGGTGGTAATGGTTCGTTCTGGTTTAGTAACCGAAGAAATTGTGCCCAAGAACGTTTGTCTACTTCCCAAAATAAAAACTCTGTATCTCTTGGAGGGTTAATTTCAATCTTTTGAAATGAAACGGTGGAGTTCATCTTGTCATATTCTAGTTTCAGATAGTATGTTCCATTTAGTAAAGAGTCGTATTTTTCTTGAAATTCCCAATAATATTTGTTCATTTGAGTTTGAAAGTCATCTAGAGTTTTCTCAAGACTTTCGTCTGAACGAACTGTAAAGATTCTCATTTCGTCAAATTTGTCTATTAGACCATCAGAACCTTCATACTGCCCATGAAAATATACTGCGAACATAAATGCGTTAGTTCTATTTGAAAACAAAACTCTTCTAAATCCTATTGCCTTTGCATCTGAAGGACTTTGAAGCCAACGAATTGGATAGTCAAACCTGTATGCTCGGGATGAAATTTCTTCATCTGAAATAGTCCTACCAGCATTTGTAAAGATATAGTCTAACGGTTTTGTATCTGCTACTTTTGTTCTTTGTTTTTCAACCTGAAGCATTTAATATATGTAAAAATATATTGTTTTAAAATGGTATGTCATTTCATATTTCTCATCTAACAAACAAGTTTCCTTCAACTTGAGGTTCACTAACAAACTCAGCGTACATTTCAAATAAAATAATAAAAATGTCACTTTTTTAAAAATAAATTTTTTATTTCATGCAATGTTTTATTTCTGTGCTGTCTTCAAGTATACCCCAATATTTCCTTTTCGATATTACATGAACTTCGGAAAATACCTTATCTAGCTTAAAACAGCCCATCTTTTCACCAACCATTCCCATTTCAATGAGTTTGTTGTATCCTTCTTCGTTCGTCATGAGTGCGTCAATGTTCTCATAGTAAACCTTCACTTTCGATTTGACTTCGGAGAAGAATTTGTTGTAGTTGTCAAGGACTGCCTTTGCGAACTGAGGATAAGACCAATGTTCGACAATAGGTTTTAATGTGGTTACTAAGCCACTTTGACCTTGAGTGAATTCGTACTTCAAAACAAAAGGAGAAAACCTTTCAACAAAGTTGTCGACCTTCTCATAATGTTTACTCTTCATCTCTTGAGGTTTCTTAATGGAATATCCCCATGTCGAATTCATAAGCAATTTGAGTGTCATTGCAAGTTTGGGGTTTGAAGCTTTCCTAATATCATACAGTTGTTGTATGACTTTTCCAACTGTATAGTTCCTTCCCGGGAACTCACCATCTTCGTTTGGAATTCCAGTCGGAATATATTGGACAAACCTCATGTATGCAGCGTTAAGGTCGACATAGTATATCTTTTCATCTGAGTCGAACTTGTCGCAACCAATTGGTCCAGTTTGTGGAAATTCAAGTGAGTCTCTTATCTTCTGAGAAACTTCTCCTGTTATCTCATAAACATCGTCGAAGCAACCTGTTTCATATAAAACCTTCTGACCTAACTCAGATGCTCTCCAATACAATTTGACGTCAATTGGATGTCTCAATGGAAGTTTGTTTATAGCATCTTGAAGTTCTTGCAACCTCATTGGAAGTTCTTCTGGTTCAGGTTGGTATCCGAACAATCCAACTCCTTGTGGAATTGTGTACTTCTTTTGTACTAGAACTTTGTCTGGAACAACTTTTGGTCTTGCCAACAGTGAAAAGTTTGTTTCGTCTTTTGGTACAAAAGTTTCTGTCAGCTTGTCATCTGGAATTGGTTCCAACAAACCTTTCTCGAAAAGAATGTTTACAGCTCTGACAATGTTGCACTTGCCTTTTCCGAACAATGGGTTTGTAAGACTTTCGTTCAACATGAAGTGGTTGTGGACAATTGCAATCTTCAACCATGGTAAATTGAACTCAACAACATAGTCGTCATGTGAAGAACCTTTAGCTGTAAGTATGTTGACTCGGATATTGACATTTGCCAACGGTGCAATTTTTGCCAATTGACCTCTGAGAATGTACCTTGTCTTCACACATGACTCAAGATACTTCATCTTCTCATCTGTAACAAGACCAGAGTTCCTGAGACATGTAAGAATACAAGGTTCATTGACAATTGTTTCAATTGAATTGTAAATTCCATACCTTGTCAAGTCAATGTCAGACTTATTTATGAACGGGAAGTATCCAGCATGTTGTCTGACTGCTTGATGGTTAGGTTGGTACCATTCGAACTTGACACTTGCAATTCCTTCAATTGCATTCAAAATGTCTGAGTCGGAGTCAACCATTTGTTCTCTCTTTGTAGTCTTGAAAGCGTCAAGAAGTTTTGCGGCTGTTTGTTCATTGCCATGTGCATAGTAAATGTGACCATCCAAATCTGTTATGGTCAATCTGAGATTGTGTCCTTTCTTATTTCCGTCTTGAATTGCAGCAAGTACTCCCATGAAGCCTTCTTTGTTCTTTCCTTCGTCAAAGTTTACTGTAAAGGTTCGACCAGATGTAATTTGACTTCTAACTTCACGATACTTTTCATATGCATATCTTGTTCTTTCCATGGGAGCATGTGCGTCTTCACCTTTTTCTTTTTCCTTCTCAAAGGATGCAATTGTTCGTCATGCAGTAGAATCTGGCAAAGCCGTCGTGTCCTTCAACTTGAGGTTCACTAACATCGAAAGGCATGTCCATAAGACGTTCTTCTTCTAACCTCTCTAGTCTGTTTGGATAATTGGCACGTGCTGTTTCCAAATCCATTTCGTAGCGAAGACCAGACAATTTGTCATAGACTTTTATGGGTCTTCCCTTCCTATATTTAAAATTCTTCGAAACTCTCCAACCATATCTTTGTAACTCTGCTTTTATTCTAGCAGACTTTCTATCCATTCTATATGGGGGCATTTTTATAAAAATAAAAAATGTTTTTTTTCTTTACTTTACATAACCGCCTGCTGCCATAAGTCTTTGACGCCAACCCATCCCAGCTAATGAAGGTTGACTTGGTTTAGTTTGGAAACTAAACTTTGGTTTTGGTTTATCTTCAGTTTTTGGTTTTTCTTCTTCTATCGGTTTTTCGTCACTTTTCGGTTCCTCTGACTTTACTTCACTTGCAGGAACAGTTGTGTCGTCAACATCTTTATAAATATCATATGCCATTTGTTTTTGTTTTCCTTTCAACTTTTTGTGTTTGTTGTAAAGTTTAGAATATTTCGACTCTAAGTCAATGAGATGTTCTATAATGAACTGTTGGTCAGTGAAGTAAACTTTTCCATCTGTTGTCTCGAAAGCTCCTTCAGACTTCAATATTTTATTTGTGAGAGTCTGTTTCTTTTTTGAGATACTAGCCGTTCCATTTCTATGAAAAGTGACTTTATAGTTAGGGTTTGTATTTCCAGACCTGGCACTTTCTATTATTGAATTTTTCTCTTCATCTGTAAGTTCTTTGACAGGTTTTGACAATGGTTCTGAACTTTTTGTTTGTGGTGTCAAATCTACCGTTTCAACTTCTTCGGTCATTTCATCTCAGTAAAAAATTTTAGTTTGGTTTGTTTTCAACTGGTTGTTTAGGTTTTTTAAGTCGGTCTAAAACTTCCTGAGGTATAGGAAGAACTTTACAAACACGTGGTGTAAATGCTGGAAGCCGACAAATCCATCTTGAACTCATTTGTCTCAATGCTGCATTGTTCATTTCATCTCAGTAAAAAAATTTACATTCCCCACGTTTGAGGCGGTTGAGGTTGGTTATTGTTTACCCACTGTTGTGCATGGTTATATCCTCTGTTAAAGAATCTTTCACCTTGGTCCATATAGTGTCCTGCTTGGTTATAGTAGTCATTTGCTTTGTTATAATAGTTTCCTGCTTGTCTTCCTACATTGTCCATCCATCCTTGAACTTTTCCTCTTGTTTCAGGATTTGGAATAAGATTTGTTGCATCTCGTGCTACATCCCAACCTTTCTGTACAGTTTGTATAATAGGTTGTGCTTTCTCTTTAAGTATACCTAATGTACTCAAAATCTTCCTTCCAATTCCAAATGCACCTCTGGCTATTGTTCCCACTGCGGGCAAAATCTGGATGCAACTCCTGCTAATGCGCCAAATAAACCCATTTCTTATAGGGTAAAAAATGACGAATCCGAACAAGGACCCTATGTTTCTAAAGCGACAAAGAAAGCACTCATGATAAAAATCTTTAGTTCGACACCAAATGCTTGGTTTATGGATATCTTGGAAAACATTCCGAGAGTTAGAACAGATGGACCTCCATACTGGTTAATATTTGTTGGTCAAAACACAAGATACTGTGAAGCATACCATTATGGTCCAAAAATATTTTAGATGTGAAAACTGCTTTGACAATATTCGTTGACAAATACCATCCAACAAAACTGACATCTGACTGTGAAAGTTCTTTCAAATCAGATGATGTAAAAAACTATCTGCGTTCAAAAAATGTAAACCAATATTTCATTGTCGACCAAAACCATTCTGCTCTTGGTGTCATTGACGGTTGTATAAAAATGTTAAGAGACTTAAACCAACCACAAGGTGGTGAAGCAAATGAAATGTCATATGACGACAAGTATAGACACTTCTCCATGGCAAAGATGAGACAAGTTTTAAATATTTACAATAACCGTAAACAAAAAGGTTTGGGAAACCACTCCCCCGAAGAAATGAAAAACAACCCTGACTTAGAGAAAGACTATATATTTAATAATTTAGTCAAAAGAGACAAACAAGAAAGAATGCCGGGCTTCAAACTTCAGAAAGGTGACAAAGTAAAAATAGAAATACCTAAACGCGACCCATATGAAAATACTATTGACTATGACAACAATGGGAACCCGACAGGTACTCACATTCGTGTTCGTAAAAATAGAAGAAAGTATACAAGAGAATATTATGAAGTTTTAGGCAAACATGGCAAAATGTACACACTGCAAGCAGAAGATAAAACTACTATTGCCAGACCTCGTTTCAAACTTGTCAAAGTTCAAGGTGGTATACTTTCAAAGACAGTTCCTAACAAATATAAGACAACTCCTGACGAATATGCTAAAGAAGTTGAAAATGACGACTAAGCAATTCTATACCATGCGTAAACTGTCATGTAAGGTGGCATGTATTCTTTACTTTGTCCCGTTGTTTGTGTATATCCTGAAACGAAATGTGTATGGTTTCCTTCTCCCTGAGTGTCACTCCAGTAACAATTTATAGCAAACTTAACGTCGTCTTTAACATCATATCCTTTACCTTTTGTCATTCCTGACCAATCCCAATATCTATGCTTATGCCAACCTGCTTGAGATGTACTTAAATCTATGTAGTGACTGTGTGCAGGTAAATTTTCACCTGAAATCGTTTTACTTCCACCTGTTTCCTTTGAAGAGTTTGCACAATACAAAAAACTGTCGACTATTTGTTCCCATGCACCAACACCAAACATTACTTGAGGACCTCTTGCTTCCATAGATGTATAAATAGAACCTACTGGGTTCATTAAATCAAACATATGAGATATTATAGGATTGTCTCTTTTGAACTTAAAATATAGTGCAACTATTTCAGGTTTCTTCTGGTTTGTGTCAGAATATTTTTTATAATATAATCTTATGTTTTCAGGGTAGGTAAAATCTTGACTATAATATTTATTTCTGTCATCTGTATAATAATATACTATTCTCGTTTTTTCTATTGCATTATATCTTTTATATCTATAATAATCTAAATATAATGTTAGCTTTTGTTCATCTACATGTGGTGTTCTGTCGTCATCTCCATAGTCATAATAATATGGTGCTGGAGCTGGGTCAGGCAATGTCATATCTGCCATTTCATAAACTCTTAAATATTTCTTTTGTTCGTCTCCATATAAGTTTAATGAGCAGTTGTTGTCTAATGGAACTTTAACTTGTGTACCATCATTCTTTTTATAGCTTACATACATTTCATTGTTATTTTTCGGAATGAGTTTATACCGTATACCATTTCTTAAGGACTGTACAAACTGCCATCTAAAATATTTATTTTCTTCATTGAAAGAAAAGTCACCAACAATAGTTTCAATATTTTTTTTGTTCCTATCAAACTTTGGTATATTTCATTGACATATGTTTTATCTGCTTTCTTTTCAAGGCTAACGTTTAAGTCTGTTATTTCAGATATAGAATGTGTATGTCCAACGTCACTTTTCCTGTTTAAGGTTTCTTGTAAGTTTGTAATATTTGCAATGGTATGTGTATGTCCAACGGCACTTTTACTGTTTAAGGTTTCTTGTAAGTTTGTAATATTTGCAATGGTATGTGTATGAGTCTTATCTGCTTTTGTCTCTAATGTTTCCTTAAGACTTGGTATTTGGTTAATATAATGTATATGAGTCTTTTTAGAATATTCGTTTTCAGCTCTTGTCACTTCACTTGACATTTTATTGTCAACATATGTTTTGTCTGCTAGTTCAGGATGAGTATGTTCTTTTGTTGCATAAGCATTGTTAGCTCTTTCTTCTTCTTTTGCTATTGCATCGTCTACATATTCTTTGTCAGCTTTGTTGTCAACATCTGCTTTCAAAAGAAGTTCATTTATAGGTTTCTCGTTTAAAGTTCCTTTTGTTGGATTTATACAGACAGTATGGTTCTTATTGTCTTGAAACAGAAACTCATCTGTCATAGGGTTTATTGTCAGTTTTAAGTTTCCTTCTTTCAATGACTCAGATATCTTAGAATAGTTTGAAAAGTTTGTTGTGTTCTTATTTAGAGCTTGCATAATGAGTTGTCGGTTGTGTTGTATTTCTCTCATAGACGCTGTTTCATTTGACATTTTTATTATAGATAAAATATGCTTCCAATAGAAAAAGAAAATTCTAGAGTTGCTACAACTAAACCATTAGATGAACTTTTTACTAATGTCGGTCAAAAGTTTGAGACAGATACCGTAAAGCATGAAGGCTATCGTTTTGACTACCCATTAAGATGGTTAAGAGACCCATCCGTCACAAAAGCTATTGGCTTTCGTAGAATGAAGTTCATTTCAGAAGCCATACATGGTTTCCCATTTACGGTCGGTTTTGAAGTTCGATACTATAACAAAGAAAAACGTATGTATGAGAAATTTGAACAGGGAAAACTTTTACAAGTTAGTTTGCTTATAAACTTAGAAACAACTCTTTAAGCTTTTCAAGAAAAAATAAACGATATCTATATTGAATATGCAAACCAGTATAACATTGACGAAGGAGAATACCATCTCGATATTATTTATGACAGGAAAAATGCAACTGTTAAAATCAATAAAATAGAAGACCTTGGAGAAAACGTTTATATTTCTACAAAATATAACAACTTGGCATGGTATAGATTTATGAGGATGTTAAATCAGCCTGCAGCATATCCAGTACACCCGGACTATTATGAAGTCGAAAACCCTAATGGAACATATGAAAATATTTTCGACCAAGATGCTATTATTGTTCATGCTTCATTTTCTGGCGCCCAAAACTCTTTCTTATGCTTGGCAAATGACTTTTACGAAAAACCTACAAAGTTATACGAACCACCAAGTGGAAGTATTTCAGACTTTCAAGTATGGTTTACTACAGATGGAAGAAAAAGAATAATTCCATTATACCATGCGTTTTACTTAGAACTTAGTTTCATATACAACTACTATCGAACGGTAAAAATATAATTTTTTAATATACCGGTTGTGGTTGCCAACTAGACTGTGGTGCAGGTTCAGGCTGTTGTATAACAGGAGCTTGCTCTTCTGGTTTAGGGTCTTTAGGTATAATACCAACGAACTGACCTACTCTTTTACCAATATTTTTGACTCCGTTCCAAATTCCTCTTCCGACAGATTTTATTCCATTCCATATACCTCTTCCAACTCTTCTGAAGAAGTTTCCAATACTACTGAAGAAACCCATTTACTACGTGTAAAAATCTAATGTCCGCCTAGTCTCTTACGTTTCCTGTTGAGTTCCATAGCATTCTTTAACTGGAGCTCATACATTCTGTTTCTCCTCTGGTAGAAAACATATTCTGGGTCAACTTCTGTGTTCGCGTCATCTGCATAAAGTTGTTTATATCCCACTTCAGGGTTTGTATAAAACTCTTTCCATCTCATATTTGCATACCATGGTGGCAAACCTAACGCAGCGTCATTTGACATGGCAGTTTGCATTTGTACATCTGTTGGCACTTGACCATAGTTTGCCATTGCAGTTTGTATTCTAACTTCATTTGGAATATTCTCTGGGTTTGGTTGTCCAGGTTGCTGTGCATTCGCTAAGTTCTGTGCGTCCATTTAATATTAGATAAAAATATCTCTTACGAGTACATATACTGAACATTTGCAGGCATTGGTTCATCTTCATATTCTCTGTACTTTTCTGCCACGTCAAATAAATAAATGACACAATGGAAAAAACCTAAAACAAGTAGTCCTATTTCAAACCACATTTACTTACTAATAAAATTTCTTTGTTATGACACTTTCTCCGGTTTATAGGACCTCTCTCATATTCTATCTTGTCATATCTAAACTCATAGTCATGTATGTCCTCTAACCATCTCATAATGGTTTCCAAACCACTTTTATCGGATGTAAAGTAAAAGCATGGATGGTTATGTATAACGTCTAAAGTTTCTAAAGAGTCTCTCAAAGTCCAGTCTACTTGGTATTGAAAATCCCATGTGTTATAGAACGGCGGGTCCACTATAAAGAAAACATTTTCCTTGTCTTTATATTTTTCATACAACTCTGTCCAATGACATCTCACAAACTCTATACCCTCAATATATTTTTCTATGTTCTCTTTGAAAACATTTGTATAGTTAAGATATAAAACTTTTGACATAAGTGTTTCAATGTCATGAACTCTTATAGCACCACTATATAATAGTCTAGCAGATATACTATCCCAGTCTATATATTCTGCTTTTTTCAAAACCTCTCTCACAATATTTTTCTTATCTAATGGTATACGTTCCATCTTACCTATAGGTATCTTTTCTTTTAACTCTTTCAATATATTGTTTGTGTCTGGAATATGTTTGAGACGGTCCATATAGTTGTCGAAGTCATTGCATATAATCTTTGAGTCTGGGAATATTGTATGACATAAATGGGATATATAGAAACTTCCACCGAACAAATCTACAAATGTTAGACCATTCGGTAGTTTCTTAAGTTCTCTCAATATAATATCTTTACATCTACTCTTATTTCCAAAGAACGGTAACGGCGGTTTTGTAAAATTCATTTATATATAATAATAAAAATGTTTTTACCTGAAAAGTGACAGAAAAGTGGCAAAACATGAAAACATATATAATTTGTGAAAAGCGACACATTATATAATGTTTTCGACCCAGAAGACTAACAATTTTCCGAATAAAAACTTCATTTATACTAAACATCTTCGGGGCTAGAGGGCGCAACGCGCCTGGAAGCCCCACTACCTTTTTTTTCATTAGCATTAATTACTAATTCACAAATCATATTGAGTAGCATTTTAATATTATTGATTGTCATTATTTCAAAGAATTCAGAGTAATCTCATATTGTAATCTCATTTTCATAGTTATGTCTCCATAACCTTCGCCTACATAACCTTTAGAGGTTCTCATTGCAAAAAAAATTAAAATTGAAAGGAAGATTATGAAAAATGGCTGAAATAATTTCGGAAAAAACGAGAGATTAATAGTTAACTTATCTTTAAATTCAAAGTAAAAGAGTCATAAGTCAAGAATTAATTAAGATATTAGTCAATTTTTATTAAATTTTATTTAATGAAAGAATATAATTTGAAGAATTCAGAAGCGATATTACTAGCAACTCTTGGATCAGCAATAACAGACTTGAGTGAATCTGACATATCAGTTTGATTCTTTGTGACAAGAATTTCAGCAAATTCTGTTGCTTCCTCTTCATCTACGCCGTGTTCGCTTAGTTTATTAGCCATCCAAGCTTCACGAGACATCTTTGGCTTCTGTTGTTTAGTTTCTTTAGAAATTTTTGCCAAATAAGGATTAGATTTCTTCTTATTTTGAGGTTTAACTTCAGTAATGATCTCATCATCTTCATTGACATCGTCGAAGTCCCAGAAGTCGTTTGCACCAATATTTCTCTTCTGCTGTTTGTTCTTCTTCGATTTTTTGTCTTCGAAAGTTGAAAATTGTTGATTTTCTTGTTCCAAACCGAAACCAGCGACTTCGAATTGTTCTGCCTTTTGTTGTTCTTCTGCCATCAATTGTTCGAATGAAGTAGCTGTTGCCTGTGTTCTTGTTGCAGTATAACCAAGTCTTACGTTTTGTTTGTTTGATTTAGCGCTTAATTTTTCTTCTTTTTCGAGTAAAGAAGCGAAATCTGTCTTTATTGGTTGATTTACTGCTTTTCTTCTTTGTGCGACGTATTCTTCTTCTGCTTCTGGATCATAAACATCTACATGATGTGTAATAATATTCTCAGAAATAACAATCTTCTTACCTTTCTTTCTTCCTCCCGAATTTTGTTGCTGAGAAATTTGCGGATTTTTCTTTTCTTCGGCAGCCATCAACTCTTCGAATGAAGGACCATTTGATTTAGGTCTTTGTGGCTGTGTAATGACTCTCTCTGGTTCAACATAATCAACATATTTCTTCTTTTTCTTTCCGCCAACAACAACATTATTAGTTTGTTTTGGAGTTGTTGTTGTTTGTTGAGTTTTTTGTTGAGATTTTTCAGCGGATTCGAGAAGAGAAGAGAAAGAAGGAGTTACAGGGGATGATTGTGTTTGGAAGACTTGTTTTGGTTTCTCTTCTGGAACAAATGGTTGGTATTTCTTCGATTTCTTCGATGGTTGTGTCGGTTTTGACTGAACAACTTTGATTGGATTTTTATCTGCTTCTGCTTCATTCAAGAGCTTATCGAATGAAGGAACATTTGGCTGAACAGGAGGAGGAAGAGGTTCTTTCTTTGGTGCAACAAATGGTTGGTATTTGCCACGTTTTCCTGTTGATATTTTTTCTTGTTTTTCAACTTTAGGTTTTTGTTTTTCTTGTTCCCTGATGATGTCGTCCATTGATTGGCCTGAGAACTTAACGGGAGCACCGTATTGGATGACCTGTTCCTGTTTTTTGTTCTTTGATCTCTGTTGCTCTTTAAGAGATTCTTCAATTGCGCGTTTAACCATCATTTCTTCTTCAATCGAGCCGAAATCATTGGCAGGGGATTGTTGTGGTGCTGGATTATATGTGATGACTTCTTCTTTCTTCGGTTTCGGCTTTTCTGACTTTTGGGATTCTTTGATCTTCTTTTGTTCGTTTTCTAACTGGGAGAAGTCAACAGGAGGATTGTATGGCTGTGGCTGGTATGAGATCTTATCTTCTTTTGGTGTCTGTTTCTTCTCTGGCTTCTGAGATTCTTTGATTTTCTTTTGTTCGTTCTCTAACTGAGAGAAGTCAACAGGAGGAGTGTATTTGGCTGGCTGGACTTCGATTTTCTCTGTTTCCTTTGATGTTTCTTCTGCTTTCGGCTTGTTTTGGAGCTCATCTTGCTCGATCTTGGAAATTTCTGGAACTGGAGCTTGTGGCTTCTCCTGTGGCTGGAATACTGGTTGTGTCTCCACTTTTGGCTGTTCCGGCTTTGGTTCTGGAGCTGTTTGAACAGATTCTGTAGTTGGATTTGGTTGTGGAACAAATTGTGGCTGGAATTGAGGAGTTTGTGGTGCTGGTGATGGATTGAATGTGAATACCATTGGAACTTGTGGCATCATCTGTGGCTGGAAGACAAATTGATTTGGATCATAGATTGGCTGTGGTTGGAAGCCAAAAGGAGGCTGCATTTGAGGGAATCCGAATCCAATTTGTTGTTGTGGATTGAATCCTGGTGGGAATTGTGGATTATTCATTGGTTGGAATCCAAATTGAGGAGTTTGATTGTTTTGTTGGATTTGTTGTGTTGGCTGTTGTGCAGCGACTTCTTGTTGTGGTGCTGTATTAACTTGTTCAGTTTTATTTGCATTATTTTGGACAATATCTCCGAATGTAATTTCTTTGTGCTCTTCCTGAACTTGAGCTAATGCTTCGATATTAGGTGGTATAGCTGGTTGTGGCTGTGGTTGTGGTAGAGGACTGTTATTGTGTTTATATTGTTTGTGGTTTGAATCTTTAGACTTATTCTCGTTCTTATGTTGATTATTATGCTCGCCTGGTAGAATTACAGGATTAGATTTCTTGAAATCGTCGTATTTTAATGGTTTATATTGTATTTTAGATAAGAGTGGTCCGAAAGCCTCTGCAAAGTCTGGGATAGGGCTTTCTTTGTAATGGTCAATAATTTCTTGAGGAGTTAACTTTATTCTCGTTGACATTATTACAAAATTTTAACTGGCCATCAACCTCGCGACGATAGGATTTCATCAAATAATTTTGTCAATTATGTTTTCAATTGGAAAGTTAAACATGATTAATATTGGAAAATACAACTCTCAAAAAATTATCGGCCAATTGAAAAATTTTGTAAAAAAATCTTGATGAAACCTCTTAAACTTCTTGGAAAAAAACATTTATTGCTCATTAAAACGAGATATTTACTGAATTAGTTAGGAGCGGTATCGCATAATGTGAGATTTATATACAAAAATTGTTTTCGAAATAATATTTTACTTTTTATAATACTAGAAAATATCCTTTTTATAATACTAGAAAATAAAACGAATTCTAATGGATTAGATATCAAATTTATGAGTGTCTGTTATAAATTATTATGCAACTCGTAAAAGATACTCTATGGATGGCTTTCCTTGTTTTAAAAAGTTAATTAGATTCGTGTGATAAACTAATACAATAGCAATTTTCCTTTGAATATGTCATAATTTGGATGATAAGCTCTGTTTACAAAAAAAATGAATGTCACAGTAATGGCTGGAGGAGGAAATATGAATTTAGACCTCAAAATGAAGTTACCATATTTCTCATCATCATTTGTTTTTACAAGAAATAGAATATAGAAACATTCAATATAAGCCATAGGTATGCCTACGGATTTACTGTGCAGCTTAATTAGAATACTTTGGTTTAAATTCAATATTTAATGATTGGTATTCTTAAAAATTTTTCTTCAAAAATTGTTTTCGGAGCTAGTAATTGCGAGCTATTATGTGATTTAGAATTATAAGAAATTGAGATGACTCATTGAATTATAAACATCAAATTTTTCGAGTGAGAATTTCTTCACGGTCTTTTATAAAACGGAATCAAAATAAATATGATCGCTTACATAGGAAGGACTTTACATAAATACGTGATCATTATACGGGAGGTACATCAAAGAGATCAAGAATTAACTGTCACAAAAAATCGCATGTGGTGCAAACCTAGTAATAACATGGAACTTTTAGAATTGTAATGTCTATTTAAAGCAGTTACATACGCTCATCCTTTTCCAATTCAAAATTATTTTGGATGATACCAATAACGGAACTACTAACAAATTCTTTTGAGCAATAAAACAAAGATTTTACAATATCCACATTGAATTAAAAGCGTTAAAAATATAATAAAACAACAAAAAACGATTACGAATATGTAAAAGCTTATTCTCGAGTTCCAGAATACCATATATGACTGTCACGGCATGATTACTCAGTAATTCCGATATATCTCTCATATGACTGTCAATAATCCAATTTAAAAAGAAAACATGTAACCTCCACCACAGGACACCACTAATTAAAGCTGTAAAATGATGAGAATGTCAGAAGCGGTGAAATCTCATGGAATAATGAACACCACTAAGAATTGCAGAAAAAAATATCGAAAATTTTCAGAAGTTGTAAAAATTCTTATTGAAATAGAAAAAGAAAAAAATCTCCTCCCGTGTGGATAAATCAAAGTTTATTCGAAGGAATAAAGTTATTGTCATTGTTTGTTCGGAAATTAATTTCACGCAGTTTGTAGTATGTGTAATATGAAATCTGATTTCTAAAACTTTTCTTGTCTTTTCAACACATCTTATTCGGCAAGATGTGTTTCAAGACGATACTTGAGAGAGCTATCGTCTGTGTACTGAAATGAATCTGAACGAATCTTCTCATGGAATCTAAGTTCCATATAAACGACAAAGAAATGAGTAATGAACGGGAGGTAAAGGCAAATGCAGTCTCGCTCTGCATATCAAGCCGGCAGCCCACGGGAACAGCTGCCCTCGCGGTCATTTGCTCATTCAAGCTACAACGGAGATGATCATCGGCGGCACTCCAACCATAGGTGCGGTCTACATCTCTTTCGCCATTGGGTGTTAAGAGGCTTTGTAGGTTTTTGCATTGTGTTTGAAGGAAAAGAGAGATTATGAGGTGAGTTTCAACAGGAAACATATACAGTAAAGATGTAACTTTCTCGCTGTATCTCTGAGTTTTTGTTGCATTATCAGAAATCTTAAATCTTATGATCAGTTTATAGAGACCAAGGGACGCAGCATATGGGATGCTGCAATGGCCTCTACCACCAAAGAGGGAAGCAGGGTGGGAAAGAGTAATCGGGTAAGATAAAGAAAGATTAAACAGGATAATGAACAAGGTCTCAGAAAGAACAAAATGTGAAACGGAGTAAACGTTTGCATTATCATATGAACTCGTCAATCGGATTGACAAGAGGTTCATTTCTCTTAAATGGTGGAAGAGCTCACATCTTATGATTATCTCATAGAGACTAAGGACCGCAACATACGGGATGTTGCTGTAGTCTCTACCACCAAAAATGGTTACAGGGTGGAAAAGAGAAATCGGGTAAGATGAAGAGTATCTCAATCTCAACTTTTCCGCAAAAAGGGTTATCAGGCAAAAAAACGAGATTGGGCTTCTTTGAACCAAATAAAATGAAATGATCAGTATATTGGTCGCTAAAGCGGCCGGGATTCCACTTCTTCGCAGGACCCTTATAATGCTTGAGAACGAACAGCGATCAAAAATTGAGAGGATTTTTGCGGCTTTAACGGTTCTCGAATGGCCATCAATGGGACAAGCTTTGGGCGAATTTAGGGCTTCTAGGACCGCCACGCCCGGTTTGAACGGTCCCCCGCACTCATACAAGATCAGTGCGATCACTGTATAGGAGGATATCCAAAATGGCACAATTGTTATGATTATTGTTCACAAATTTAGTTCAATTTTCAATAAACTCTTTTTATTCTACTCCATTTATAATAATGCTGTCTTTGAGACTATATTTTACCAGACCCTCCTTTATTAGTTTTTTATTTCAAAATTTGGGTTAAATCTAATAAGCTAAATATCTTATTCAAATTTGAGATATACAAATTACTTCAACTAAGGGTTTCGTTTTGCTAAAATTGTCACTTTTATAGCATATTTGTTTTTGGATGTTTTGCGAAACCAAAAAAAAAAAACTATGATATACAATGTGTGTGTAAAGAAAATACTTTATTTACTAGTTAAAAAATCATTTGGTATTGATCAAGTTTTTTTTTCTGGATAAGATATTATATGGATAATTGGATAGAAAATACAATTATATAATCTTGTACCTGGTTTAATTAAGCTAATTGTCATCAGAAACTTGTAATTTTTATGAATTTCAGATTTTCTTTTCATTACTGCTTTTCTTAATAGGTCAAGTTCTTATTTACGTTATAAAGTATGATATTTACAAATATCAAGTTATCGTGTTTTTTGAGAAATTATGAGAAACAAACAAAAATGAAAAAGATAGGAATAGCAATGAATAGTGATGTGGGTATAGAAAATGTAAGAGATATGAATGCAAAGCAATCAGTATTTAGGATATTGACCATAGATTTCGAAAAAAAAATGCTGCATATTGAGCGAAAACTATGATTATATTATAAGGCTGTCATTTAAAGCATAATGAAACTATTCCCTTTTCATTTTAATCGAATAAGATAGTAAAGATTTTTGAATTAGCTAGAAACTGATGAGATGTTTTCACAAATCAGATTTTTAATCTCTATAATGCATAATTCACTCAATATCTCAATTTTGATATTGCGAGATATTTTTGCTATCGGTTTCGCAATTTTGACACAATAGCAAGAGGGTTCTATAAGCATTATTATCAACGTAGAGTCTGAATATCATATCAGAAAATGTCGCAAATCTGACATTTACCCGACCAAATAGCAAAAATAATTGAATACTTTTCGCAAAAACTTTAAAAATCGATAAAAATATGAAATATAGATATTAAAGAGACTTTTTATATAATATTCATAAAGATTTTCCAAAAATATGATACCGCAAAATTAAAAAAGTGACGTCTTGAGTGGAGTCAAAGGTCGAAATTGCTAGCTAAATGTTTTTTTAGCGAAATTGCGTATTGTACGTTTTTTTCGCAAAACGAAACCCTTACTTCAACAAATCACTTCTCTATACATTACTTTATCCATTGATTATTCCATTAGTTATAACAACTAAACAAGTAACATCTGATAACAATAAAAATTTCATGTTCTATACTTGAGAAGATTCATATAATGAATGTTAAATTATTCTCGATGACTGATGTCAATAACAGATATCAATGATATTTTATCTAATTACATCTGAAATTAATCTTCAATTCGGCAGAATTGACAGACCGATGAAATTATAAAATATATTAATTTGTGCATTATAAGCGTCATTTTTATACTAATATAAAACCCGAAAACAAAGAAAATAGGAGATGCAATGAAACGATAAGAAACCGCTAAACAGTCTTAAAATGGCTGAAGACTTTGAAATCAACCTTGGTGATGAGTTCGAGAGGCAGCTTACATGCATCATGAACGCACACGTTTTCAAAATCCCACCACTTCAGCAGTCTGATGGTTACAGATGCACTGGCTGGGAAGGAAATCAGCTCTGGACAGGCCGCTGCCGTGTTCTTACAAAGGGAAAGTTCAGCCGTGTTGTTCTCGATAATCCAAACACAGGCGAAGTTTTCGCTGAGTGCCCACTTGACCATCCAAACGCTGTAGAAAAGGTTTTAGACTCCTCCCGTTACTTCGTTCTTCGTGTCGTCAAGGGCACAAAGCACGCTTTCATTGGCATGGGCTTTGATGATAGAAACCAAGCTTTCGATTTCAACGTTGCTCGCGAAGAAGCCGCTAACAATATGAATAACTACGATCAGCGCAAGACTCAGGCTCAGTCTGGCGCTCCAGCTGAAATCAAATCTTCCGGAACAGATTACTCTCTTCAGGCTGGTCAGAAAATCACAATTAACATTCCAGGCGGTGCTTCTACTCGCAAGAAGCGCACTGTTGGCAGCGGTGGCCTTCACCTTTAAATAACTTTTGGTATTTATTTTAATACGAAATCTAGTTTTTCAATAAATATTTCAATAATATTATTCCTTGAGGTAATGATATATAAAACATTTACCTAGGCATTGAAATATGTATACTACGAAACTTATAACAATTTCTTTTCTAAATTAAATAATAATATTAACAAATCATGGAATTTTTCTATATAAAAATGTATAATTTCATAAGTAGATCAATTTTAAAATATGTCTATAAATCCAAAAATATTTTGCTTTTTCATTTTTGATGCTAAATTTGTATTTTTTCAAATCATTTTTAAAATTTTTGATTTTTTTTGGAATTTGAAAAGATAAATTGGGCATATGATGCAAAGAAAAAACAGTAATACATGTACTATTGTTTATTATTTTTTATAGATGAATGATCTATCTTCTTTTTTTCATGAAATCATACTTATATTTCATTCCTAGAAAGCATTATTATGACAATTTAGCATTAAATAACTTTTATACAACTTTAATACATATTTTCCTTATGCAATCATATGTTCTTATTCTTCTTATAGCTCATTTGACATTCAATTATCTTATTATTCCTATTTTAATAAATATAAGTGATGTAAATGACATACTGATATCATAAAATATTAGGATATATGAACCATCTGAAACACAGTCTATGAATTATGTAATCATTTAAATGGTCATGTATCAAAATCAAATAATTTTGCCAAATGAAGTAAATGAAACAATCTTATAGGCCTTGTATTCTCTTAGTTGTCGAACAGATCATTAGATTATGAACTTATCTCACTCAATTTTGATACAATTTTTATATTTGCTTTGGACATGCAAAATTTTAGAAAAATTTTTTTGTTTATGCAAGAAGAGCTTTACACTCTTCTTCCAATTACATTCCAATCAAGTGATGATAGTCAAATCAAAGCTGCCTCAGATCGTCTCCTTGAGCTGAGTGAGTCTCCAGAGTTTTACACAGTTTTAATCGACATCATATTAAACAAAGAAACAAGCGAATCCATCAAAAAGAGTGCCCTTATCAGAATCTCGCATGAAATTTCCCAAAAATGGAATGATTTTCCTGAAGAAATACAAGCCACAATCTTACAATCCCTACCAGCAATCCTTACAAGCAAAACAGAGAACACAAAGCAAATAATTTCCCATTTCTCACGCTTAGTCGTTAAATTCTCCTATAGTTCTGGTCAATATTCAAATATTATTGGTGATATTCAACAATCTTGCTCGAATCCAGATACTGTTCTCTTCGGGTTAATGCTTGCCAAGTCATTTTCATCAATTGTAAGCGATAAAACACTACCAACAGAAGTTCAAATTTCAGCAGCCGATCAATTAGTACCATTTTTAACAAATTTCTTAGATTCAACAGATAATTACGTATGCTTAGGCTATATACTTACTTGTTTTTATCATATCTTAACAAATCCAGAAGTTAAAATTTTTGATGAAAATTTCCAAATGTTTACACCTATTTTAGTCAAAGCACTTGCTATTTCCAGCATGGTAGACGATCCATCATATTATTTCTACGCAAAAAGCTCTACAAAGTTCTTAATTGTTTTTATTGACAGATATCTTCCTGTTCTTGAGCAAGACGTCATTTCTCCAATCATAAACGTTTCGATATCATTACTATCCCAATCTACAACCCAGCCATACGTTCGTGCAAACTTATTAAGAATATTATATCAATTAGTTTGCAGAGAAGAAGTTTATGAGTACTTTATCCATCCATCTGCCCAAGAATTCTTTGAACAAGCCATGTATCCTCAATTTTCCGTAACAATTGATGAAATCAACACCGCGATACAAGATCCGAAATCATTTGTTGACGAAATGCACAAATCATCAAATGATTTCAACGACAGCCGTGAAACAGCGGGTTTAATCATCAAACATCTCGCTGAACACAACCAAGATTCAAATGAGCCAATATTTAATGTCCTTTTACAAGGTTTCAAAGAGTTTGCTGACTCAAATGGCGATGTTGAATCGCAAGGAAAGTTCTTTGCCATTGCTCATTTCTTCTCTTTCGCGGCAGATTCGTTCGCAAGATACCAAAAACCGCTTTTAAACCGTTTGGTCGCAGAAGTGTCACCTTTATTCGAACATGACAGTGAACTTGTTCGTGCGAGTGCATTTCTGTTGATCTCCGATATCCACTGCCATCTTTCCGTCCAAGTTGCTACAGCATGTGTCCAGAATTGTGGAGATTTGAGTCCTTTAGTTAGATATTATTGTCAGAAAGCCGCTGCCAATTTACTTGACAAAATTCCTGAACAAAAGATGGCGGACGAGATCAGGGAAACAGTGAGTGATGATGTGTTGACAATAATGTCTGCGATGCTTCAAACAAGTAATGAATTTTCTGATGCTGACTTCACAAATATTTTGAATCAAATTGTCAAATTTTTCGGTGACATGTTACTTCCATCTGCTGCCGAAATTGCACAAGAACTTTGTACATTGATATCAAATAGTGGTCAGCAGCCAATTGACGACGAAGATGCTTTAGACAACGTGATCAAAATCAATCAAAGTTTGGCAACTTTGGTTGAATTAGTTTCTGATCAAGGCCAAGGTTTGGAAACTTTCGCACAACAAGTCTTGGAATATTGTGTCCAGGCGTTGTCAGAAATGACAAATCCGATGGCTGTTGATCCTTTCTTGGAAACTGTTGGTCAAATTTTGGAATGTTGTAATTCAATTTCACCTCACTTTTGGCAGATGACGGAATCACTTGCAAAACACTTTGCAAATCCTGATTTCGAGATGCCTGTTGGTGCATTGTGTGAAATACTTAATTTACTTGTTTCTAAAGACCCAGAATTCCACACAAGAGAAGAAATCGCTGTTCCTTTGATTAATTTCCTTTTGGAGCTTTTGCAAAGAAAAATGGAAACTCCTGATTCTTGGAATGAATTGGCGAAGGTCGCTGAAGGAATACTTGTTAGAGTTCCTAAGGATTCTCCACTTTTGAACGAATTTTTGCCTCAGATTTCGGTGATGATCCAGAATTACATACAAAATGTCGACACAAGGTATCACGATTATGATGGTGCTATCTTGGCAATGAATGGCGTTTTGTATAATAATTTCAACGCCGCACAACAAAGTTTGGGAGAAGATTTCCCAAATTTCCTCGAAAATTGGGTTGAAAATCCAATTTTCCCTGAAACATATGTTACAGTCATTGGTAACTTTGGAAATATCAATGCAGATCTGCAGTTTATTGCACTGAAAAACTTAATTGCACAAACTTTCGATGACATTCTCTCGAAATATGTTGAAAATGGAGATGATTTCGACCAGGACATCGAAAGAGATGGTGTTGTTTGGTTTGATTACGGAGAGACGATTTTACTCTTCTTCCAGTTTTTGCAACAAGTACAAGGAACTTTCCCTGACATGATTGCTGATATAGAAAGCTACTTCGACCCAGAGGCATGGGCTGATTTGTTGAGATTGCCTCAGATTGCGCAGTTATATATTGATACAAGAGATAGAAAACTCAAGAAAGAATAATATATATATATTAATATTTATAGATAATAAATTTTAGAGATTTTTAGAGAGATTTTTTTAAATATACATCGTTTATTTCAGTCAGAACTTATTGTGTTGTTCTAGAGTAATCAAATTTTCATGTTTTTGGAGTATGATAGGATACTTTCATTCTAAAAGTGTGATATCGTTGATTTCTAATCCAGATAATTATCAAACTTATAAATCATATTGAAACAACTTTGAATATTATGATTTTAATAGGGTTTTAACTTTGAAGAAGAGATAGTTTCTTTGAACAAACCATTATTCATAAAAATTAGTTTAAAATAATATCATATCAATGTTTTATTCACGATATAGTATCTAATTATATTTGTTTTTGTTGTTTCTTATTTGAAGTACTTTTCGAGAAGTTGTTTGTATTGTTCGATTTCTTGTTCAACATGTGGGTTCTTGTGAACATCGAAGAAGTACATTCCTTCGAGGACATCGAAACCGATGAACTTGAAAGCCTTCTCGACTGTAAGCCAGTGATTCTTCTTTCCGAGATCTGCGTAGAACTGTCCTTCTTCTGTGAATGCGATTTCTGGTGCATTCCATGTTGACGAGATCATAACATGCTTTCCTATCATTAATCCACCAGTTCCATACTTCTTTGATGGATCTTTGCGGGTGCGGCCATCGTTTTTGACTAGTGTTCCTTTTCCAGAGGAAAAGACTGTATCGATGTATTTCTTGACTTGCCATGGAAGACCCATCCACCATCCTGGAACTTGAAGAATAACAATGTTGCACTTGAGGAATTTATCGATCTCTTCTTGAATGTCGTATCCGTTCTCAACGACTGTAGTGATAACATTCCATCCGAATGATTCGAGCTGTTTCTTAGCAACATCTGTCAAGTAATGGTTTAAGTTTCCTTTCGACATGTTGAACTCGCATCCGCCATCGATGATGAGTGCTGTACCTTTAGATGTCTGTGCTGACATTGATAAAAATGATATGGAGTACTAGCCAATTTATTATTCTCAGAATATTCAAACTTGAACAATTGTAAACATTTCAATTTTTTTATTAGAAAAAATCATCTCAATTTTCTGATGTTTACAATTGTCCAACCGAAATTTCTCATAAGAGTTCAACATGTCGAAAGGAAACTTAAACCACTACTTGACAGATGTTGCTAAGAAACAGCTCGAATCATTCGGATGGAATGTTATCACTACAGTCGTTGAGAACGGATACGACATTCAAGAAGAGATCGATAAATTCCTCAAGTGCAACATTGTTATTCTTCAAGTCCCAGGATGGTGGATGGGTCTTCCATGGCAAGTCAAGAAATACATCGATACAGTCTTTTCCTCTGGAAAAGGAACACTAGTCAAAAACGATGGCCGCACCCGCAAAGATCCATCAAAGAAGTATGGAACTGGTGGATTAATGATAGGAAAGCATGTTATGATCTCGTCAACATGGAATGCACCAGAAATCGCATTCACAGAAGAAGGACAGTTCTACGCAGATCTCGGAAAGAAGAATCACTGGCTTACAGTCGAGAAGGCTTTCAAGTTCATCGGTTTCGATGTCCTCGAAGGAATGTACTTCTTCGATGTTCACAAGAACCCACATGTTGAACAAGAAATCGAACAATACAAACAACTTCTCGAAAAGTACTTCAAATAAGAAACAACAAAAACAAATATAATTAGATACTATATCGTGAATAAAAACTTCGATATGATATTAATATGAAAACTATTATAAAAATTATGATAGAAATAATTTAAATATGGGAATACACAACCAATCAAGGTAAATTTGTTGCATGCTAAGTAGTGTCAACGATAGAAATTGAGAGCCTATTAATCGTCGAGGAAGTACGATTATTTTTTGGGCGAAAAAGTATCTTAAAATATGATTATTAATATGTTTTTAAAATAAAAAAATTGAAAGTTAATTTGAGATTCTCATATAATTTTTTGAATGAAAAAAATAAATATAGTCTATATGAGTTTTTGAATAATCACACTTGAGATATATCTAAAAAATAATTAAAAATAGAGTTTGAGAAGACTTTTCAAGGTGTAATGAAAAGTGTGATATAGAAAATAATTATAGATATTTTAATTTTATATATTGTGCTAAGCATTATATTAAATTTTTAGGAAAAACACTTTTCATAAGTATTCAATATTTGAAAATACGCTCCAAAAAAGAATAGATTCTTTTATATTCGCTTATATAAAAGGAGACTCTCTATCAGATGCGAATGCATGAATTCAGCACCTCTGATAGAGAGTTTCCTCTTATATAAGCAAATCTTTTTCATTCGTTTTTGTTAATATAAAAACATCAAAATCTACCAATATGAGAAATTAAACCCTGCGAGGCACCAGTCTAGAACTGGCACTTCGCAGGGTTGAATTTCTCTTGACAAAATACAATAATCAAATGCTCCAAAGTTTTCAAATTTTTATTAGGAATAGGAACCTACAAAGCACTGATTATATATCAGTGCCTGGTAGGCTCCTATTCCTTCTCTAAATGGGAGAAACTTTGTTTGAATAAGATAACATGCGAACAAAGTTTCTCCCATTTAGAGTGGGATTTGGAGGGTGGGAGGTACATAGATAGACTATGTATCTCTCACCCTCCAATTCCCTCGGGAAAGTTCGAAAACTCGGTCGCAATCAGATGCAATTGCGACCGAGTTTTCGAACTTTCTATTAGGAATAGGACCTACAAAGCACTGATTATATATCAGTGCCTGGTAGGCTCCTATTCCTTCTCTGAAGCTGGGAAATTTTGTCTGAATAGTTTAACATTTGGACAAAATTTCCCAGCTTCAGAGAAGGAATTGGAGGGTGAGAGGCATATAGGCATACTATATACCTCTCACCCTTCAATTCCCTCGGGAAAGTTCGAAAACTCGGTCGCAATCAGATGCAATTGCGACCGAGTTTTCGAACTTTCTATTAGGAATAGGAGCCTACAAAGCACTGATTATATATCAGTGCCTGGTAGGCTCCTATTCCTTCTCTAAATGGGAGAAACTTTGTTTGAATAAGATAACATGCGAACAAAGTTTCTCCCATTTAGAGTGGGATTTGGAGGGTGGGAGGTACATAGATAGACTATGTATCTCTCACCCTCCAATTCCCTCGGGAAAGTTCGAAAACTTTGGTGCAATCATCAACGATTGCACCAAAGTTTTTGCGTTTAATTGAAGGAATTGCTCTTTATGATATATACAGTTACAATGCATATATCATAAGGAGCAATTCCTTCCAGATATCTGGCAAACTTGCTCGCAATGGTTCACAATTGCGAACAAGTTTTGTCATTTGTCAAGAGAAATTCAACCCTGCGAAGTGCCAGTTCTAGACTGGTGCCTCGCAGGGTTTAATTTCTCATATTGGTAGATTTTGATGTTTTTATATTAACAAAAACGAATGAAAAAGATTTGCTTATATAAGAGGAAACTCTCTATCAGAGGTGCTGAATTCAGGCATTCGCATCTGATAGAGAGTCTCCTTTTATATAAGCGAATATAAAAGAATCTATTCTTTTTTGGAGCGTATTCTCAAATATTGAATACTTATGAAAAGGGTTTTTTCTAAAAATCTCAGAATATATTTACAATAGTAAAATAAATAAGATATTTAAATTTATTTTTAAATGCTTTTTTTATATGAGATTCTCAAAAGTTATATCAAAAGTCTGTTTTTTCTAAAATCTAATATAAAAAAAAAAAAAAAAAAAAAAAAAAAAGGTAGTGGGGCTTCCAGGCACTTCGTGCCTTCTAGCCCTGTTGATGTTTAGTATAAATGAAGTTTATATTCGGAGGGCTTCCAGGCGCGTTGCGCCCTCTAGCCCATAAAAAGTTTAGTATAAATGAAGTTTTTATTCGGAAAATTGTTAGTCTTCTGGGTCGAAAACATTATATAATGTGTCACTTTTCACAAATTATATATGTTTTCATGTTTTGTCAAGACTTCTTCGTAAATGTTTTGTCAAAACTTCTTCGTAAAATCAGACAAAAATAAAGTTTAGGGTAGAAGGTTAGATCTAACCTGTTTTCTAACCTCTTTTCTACCCTCATGAATTTTCATGATTTCATCGTACATGTTTTGTCAAGACTTCTTCGTAAATGTTTTGTCAAAACTTCTTCGTAAAATCAGACAAAAATAATGTTTAGGTGAAGAGGTGAGATCTCACCCGTTTTTTCACCTGTTTTCTCACCTCTTGAATTTTCATGATTTCATCGTCATAGGCACGGAGATAGGACGGTTATTTTACAAAACTGACAACACTTTGACCGAGTAGTTTTTTGTGCTGAACAAATAGTGTCATATAAACATCTGTCAAAAACCGCTTTTTAACTTCACTTAAAATGCCACGTAAGCTACGTAAGAATATACGTAAGAGGAAGGGAGCATTGAAACATCCAATAGTAAAACTGACACCACAACAACAGTTGCAACAACAAATTATGAATGACCCCACTATGTTGCAACAAATGTCAAGCAACCCTATGCTTTTAAACCGAGTTATTGGTGCACAGAGTGGAGGTTTAAGAGCGCACTTTTAGCGAAAATGGCAGGCTATGGTGGAGCTGCAGACGGAACAGCTTATAACCCTCAAAGTCAAATGAATTTGAGTTCACTCAAAAATCAAATAACAGATGTCAAAAAGTCAAACATAGACATACAGAAACAAATAAGTGAAAACGAAAAGAAACTAGAATATGACAGACACACAAAGAAACTCAATGAGTTAAACGTAGAGAAAAAGAAGAAAGAAGAACAACTGAAAGAACTAAGTACAGAGGAATATGCGAAAAAGTGTCAGAAAAAGCAGCAGAAGTAGCAAAAATGGAACAAGATGTTATAAATTTGAAAAACCATACTACTCAAATAAAGTACTGAAAGATGAAGAAATAAAACAAAAAGCCCTGAAGACATATATGGATAGCGATGAGTATAAAAAAGAAGTTGAAGCAAATGTAAAGGCAGAAA